CGCACAACGGTCACAAAGACCTTGTGGATGTAAGATAGTCATTATCGTTCGGGTATTTGTTATTTTATATTGTGGGTAAATTATTAAATGAATTTATTTTGTGTTATCTGTTCAATGTCATATTTTGTAATAATTACTAGCTAGTCAATTTTGTCCATTGGAACCAATTTTATTTACTTCATCTTAATATTGAAATTTTAAACTAGTATTAAATTTGTCTGTTAAGAATTAATTGACATAATTTTATAACATTGTTCCTTTTTATTGGAATTATGTTTATTTATAACTAATTTATTGCTGTCATTGATTGTTAAAGAGTTTTTTGTTATTTATTTTCATTATTATTTGTTGAGTAAGAAGGGCTAAATTTATCTAGTAAATTTATTTATCGAAAATATTAATATTAATTATTGTAAAAAAGGTTTGAATTATTTACTTATTTATTTATTTAGTTTAATAGTACAAACTTACAGGCACGTAGACAAGGATGGGCCTGGCCCCTCTTAGATTTAATGTGGCCCAGGGCCGCCCCCCCAAATTTAAAATTCAATTATTTTTACGAATTATCATAAACGTGCTAGGCCTTATATACATTGAAATTATTATTAATTTGTAATTACTATTGAGTAAAAAAGTTATTATTATGGCTGTATTTTCATTTTTATATTCATAGAAAACGTTATTTGAAAAAGATAACGTTCTAGACGTAATAATAAACGGAATAGCAATTACTCCAAACGTAGTTGTGTGTAAATTTTTTTAACTCTGGTCCAACAAATGATAACAAACTACGAAGTATCTGCATTTATTAGAATCTAGTTGATTACAAAATTCGATAGAGTATACTCTATGAAAATTTTTTTGGTAAATCTTATCTTTAAGTTGTTTCTTTTAGCTTCGATGCGAAGCTGAGAAGGTATTGGTTTTACTAAGATGTGTTTTGTTTTGTGCCTGTTACCACTTTTTCTCAGCTCTCACTGAACTAATTTCTTTCAATGATACGTCAAAAGATCACAAATTGTATCTTGTAGAAGACATTACTCTCAAAAATTGAAAAAATTTCCCTCATTCCCCGTAAATGGGGGAAACCTCCAAAAAAATTACACATTTAAAAATCGCTAATTTTCGAAATTTTTTTAATTTTTTTTACTAAAAACTGCCGTAACTTTTCATAAATAGATATATCAATACAATTTTTTTTTATAGATGTTTGATGTCTTTACCTATCATTTGATATATTTTTTTTGTAAATCGGACCCTTTATCTGCCCACAGGGGGGGATTTAAAATGACAACTTTTTCACAAAAAATTAACTTTTTCAACTTAACTTTTGAAAATGTTCCGGAAGGTCTGACACTTTTATATATATCTTATATTAAAGCTAATGTAANACTTAACTTTTGAAAATGTTCCAGATGGTCTAACACTTTTATATATATCTTAAATTAAAGCTAATGTAATATACTTTAATTAAAAAAAAAAAAAATTTACCTCTGGACATGTCTTCACGGTAAAAATGGCTACCGAATGCTATTTTTGTGTGAAAATTCTTGATTTTATAATTTACATTTTTAACTTTATAATGCTATAACTTATTGAAAAGTGTATGGATCAACGCAATTTTTTTATGAGAAATAATATTTTTTAATAATTCCTTTTTTATTCGACATACTTTATCTTAATCAAGATGTTAATAAGGAACTAGCAGATCATATTAGAATAATACACCAATTTTTTTAAATTAAACACTATCTAAAGATTTGCATCGAAGCGTTTTTTTTTTTTATAGCGATTTTAATCACTGTCAGATATCATTATACTTGATCCAACTATGCCACGTCAATACTGTACCGCAACCCCCCTGTGCTGGGTTTTTTTTCATTTGGATCACTCTGTATAAGCAATTTTTTTTAAATGCTCTGATTTGACTTATATCTGCATTAGTAGCATGCTCTAACGATGAAGATTTTAAAAACATATCGATTGTAACGATATTTTTTTATAATTTAGTAGTTACAATAGGTAATTTATTTGTTATTTGCGTGCTCTAAATAAAAGTAATAAAAATATGACTAAAAAATGCAGGAATTGTTTTTAATTTTAAATAAAATAAATTTTACATTTTTTATAATTTATATTTATTTAAAAATTTTTTATAACTTATTTTTTATTAGTATTTAGGAATAAATTATTTTTTCTTAATAGTTTAAAAGTTGAAAAATTAAATCAGCTTATTGTCGTAACTCAAAATTATAATAAAAAATTTAGAAGGTAATATATAAGTAAAAAAAGTTAGGATAATATTGTTGTTGGAATTAAAAAAATGTGAGAGTGAGAGTTACTTTTGATTCGGGGTGTAATTCGAGGGTCATAAAATAACAATGTAAATTTTCTTATGGGTTTAAAAAATCTTACCTGGTAAATTCTCTGGTTCTTATAATATCCACAGTGATGATATTGATAAGATGATAAATAAAATAACACAATTTCAAATTTTAGTTCACAAATTAACACACAAAAACTTCGACAATGACGATTACAACGTTCGCACAACTTAATACGGAGCACGATAATAACGACGTAATGCAGACCACGATAAGAACAGCCCAATACGGAGCACGAAATGAAAGCCAGGAGCAAGGGTTTGCTCTGACTTTTTATAATATTTTTTTAACCCCAAAAATCGTCACTGTGGAATTTTTAAAAAAATTGTTTATTGATAAATAAGCATGAAACACAGAGATCAATATAAATTAATAGAACATAAATTATTTTGACATTTACATATATAACATTAACATGTTTTTTTACAAGTAAGACGAAGATTAATACAATGCATTTAACTATTAATAGTAGAATAACAAAGATGAAAAAAAAGTAATATATAGCTTTTCTTTTGGTAAGGAAGGATTTTAAAAGTAATTATTAATTGATTTATGACCGAACCGCATACACTACAATGTAGCCAAACGGTGCGAGTTTGATGACTATTTCTCTTAAATGTTTATCTAAATTTTTGTTCGAAAAGGATCATGTCCTTGTAAGAATATAATGTATAATGAAACAAGTTAAAATGAACCATTTCTATGGATAGAAGTGGTGACTATTTGAAATGAAAAAGAATATATTAATAAATACTAAAAAGATAGTATAGTTGAGTACATGAACAGGGTATTGTAGTGTTGTCCCGTATAAATAATAGTGACGATTATATTACGACATTATGTTCACATCATTATTTTATTAGCTTCGATGCAAAGCTGAGAAGGTATTGGTTTTACTATGAGGTGTTTTTTTTGTGTCTGTTACTACTTTTTCTCAGTCTCACCGAACCGATTTCTTTCAATGATACATCAAAAGATCACAAATCGTATCTAGTCGAAGACATTACCCTCAAAAATTGAAAAAATTTCCCTCGTTCCTAGTAAATGGGGAAAACCCCCCAAAAATTACAAATTTAAAAATCGCTAATTTTCGAAATTTTTTTTCTTAAAATTGTCATAACTTTTTTATATAAATGCATGATATAGTTACTTTTCATTTGATATATTTGTTTTATAAATCTGACTCTTTACCTGCCAACGGGGGAGATTTAAAATGACAAATTTTTCACAAAATATTAACTTTTTCCACTTAAATTTTTAAAATGTTCCGGAAAGTCTGACACTTTTATCTATATCTTAAATTAAAGCTAATGTAATGTACTATTTTATTTAAAAAAATTTCGGACTTTATTTTGTCTTCGCGGTGAAAATGGCTACCGAATGCTATTTTTGTGTAAAAATTCTCGATTTTGTATTTTTCATTTTTAACCCTATATTGTTATAACTTTTTAAAAAATGTATGGATCAGCACAAGTTTTTTATGAGAAATAATATTTTTTAATAATCCCTTTTTCATTCTTCATCTTAATCAGGATATTAATAAGGAAATAGCAGATCATGTAACTTTTGGATTAATCCACCAATTTTTTAAAAATAAACACAAATTTTGAACTTGTAAGATTCATAGAATAGGATACTGCCTAAGGAGGAGTGGAGGGAGCCCCCCCACAAGCTTTTCATGGGAAACAAATTATGGAAAATGATACAAGGGCCCAAAATTGTTGGCCCCTCCAATAAACATATTCTGGCTACGTGCCTGCACACTTACATATATACACACTTATTATTCACAACATAGATAACTGGTTTTGTGCAGGCCAACCCTCTCACCTCCAGTGACTCTATTTACACACCATCACACAACGTAGCCTGATCGGTATTAGTGCAATTAGCCGGTTCGGGTAAGCACTGTATTATTAAGTGCCCCTGGCCCCAACAAGACCTTAAGTGATTTAGCCAATGAAAACAAGAGTTTGTCTACAATCTCAGTTTTTTTGTTTTCTTGATATTCAGTATAGAGACTATCACATTCATCGTTCCAGCAAGGTATGTGTTCTCGTCTATAGCCACGAGTACGTTCATATGCGAACCTGCTACGGAAAGGTGTAATAAATAAAATAAATGAACCACTATTTTGTTTAACCGTAGTGCTATAGAATTTATTATTATATTAAATCACTTCACTTTATAAAATATAATAATATATAGTTACAAATATTAATTAAAATACTAAGACATAAAATAAATATGTAGAATACTGTGAGTGGTCATGACAAAATCACGACTATTTACAGGACCTATTTAATATGCCTAAGCGTCCCTAGTTCAGCATAATCCTGTCGGTGACTATAGACGGACGATCATCAAACGCTGTAGAATGGCACTTAGTATAATATTATTCATTTGTATAATAATAAGAGATTCTTAACAACATCTATATTACATTAAAAAGAGAATGTAAGTCATATAGTTGCAAAATTACGTACATATACGATTTTTTTTTAACCAGCTTTTTCTTTACTTTTTTGTTATATTGTCAATAAAAAGACAAGTTTTTAAAATTTAACCATATAAAATTGATTTGTTTTTCAATGTATTTTTTTACATTTTGAACAGTAAATTTAAACACTAAATGATGTCATTATAAGAACAGTTTGAAGTATATGAGTTATGAAGTCTATAATAAGCAATAATATCAAGTACATAAAATTTATTTTTTTCTACGAAAAACATTGTTTTAGAATAAATAATTAATATTTACACTATTTCAGTATAAATTATAACACAACGTACGTAAAATTACTCAGCTAAAATTTAAACATTTTAATTGTTACTTTCTCCAGTAGAAAAATCATTATAATGCATTTAAAATCTATACTAATATTTTTTTTAGTATGTTTTTTAACCGACACAATGGTAAGTATTTATTAAACTATTTATTTATTTTTTTAACAAATATATAATATAAATATTTATAGAGTGAGGGACTTAATGCAATCCAAATACAATGTTTTCTAAAATTGGTAAAAAGTTTAAGACATTATAATACAGAAGCAGTAAATAAAGTTTTAAAGTATTTTCGCATCAATGAAGAGTATAAATATAACTGTGAAGGTAATTATTAAGTATAATTTTTAGTATCGATTTTTTAACATTAATTTTTATTTTTATATAGAATGATTCTTTTAACACTAGCTACTCAATTTTTCTTAAAATACTATTTTTTTTTATGAATTTCCTTTTCAGATTTTATTAGTTACATATATATCTCAATTTATCTGTTATAAAATATTATACATGTTCTTCCTACATGTTTTAGGGGTGTCAACTTTTGTTTTTTTAATGGCAACATACATAATTAATTTGCCAATAAAATAGAAATTTATGTAATTAAGAGAACGACTAGTATTCTAGAAGTTGACACGGCACCGCCTTACGCTCTAGGTTGGCGTTCACCCGTGTCTCTCTCGATATCAGCCGTCTAGCTATTAATATGACAATCGGTTGTCAGCGAGTGTCTCCCCTCCCTTGACACCGAGATAAGGCCGCCGCCGATACTATTGCGGTCTGTTCCGTTTCCGACGTAAAACTTAACTGGTTGCTCCGTTCTGTTACTGTTTTTTTTTCCTTTTCTGCCTTTTTGGTTTGTTTTATAACGTTTTTCAACGTCTGTTATTTCCAACGCCTTATACGGATACTCACGGCCTACAATTGTGCTGTGCCATAAGTGTTGGTGTTATTTAAAAATTGCTAGAGCGAACTAACGTATACATATATTGATATTCATTTGTCGGGTACGTTTTGTGTTCGCTCCATTGTCTATTGGATGCGCGTCAAAGTTATTAACATTTTTATAACATGGCGTGAGGAGGAGTGTGGTAAGTTCTTAAATACTGGTCAAAAGTGTTCGACAAAAACTTTTTCTAAATTACATCATTTTATAATTTATAAGTTAGGTTAATATGCATGTAATCTATTTTAAATAAATAAATTTGACACCCCTATAAGACATAAGATATGAACATGAAAATTTTTTTTACAACAATTAAATGGAGATACATATGTAATTTAAGTATTTTAAGAGAAATCGAGTGAATAGCATTAAAATAATCTCACTGTATATTTGTCAATAAAAATACTCTGCCCGCTTTAAAATTTATTTATAATAAAAAAAATATAAAACTATTCTACATATAATATACAACACAAATATAACAATAATTTTTATAGTTGAAAGTTTTTAATATAAATTATCTTAATTAAATATACATAATTAAAATTCCCCTTGGAAAGGGCATAAGAATACTTCTTATACTAGTAGGCGCAATAGGGTCTACCGGTATTAGATCGATACTGGTATATGTTGTTTGGCTTGATAACGTTTTTAGCAATGACAGATCAGCACTGCAGGTTTTGTATAACCAGTATTACGTCAGTACTACGCCAGCAATAGTAGCTAAATACTGATCTCCAATACTGGATCAGTATTTAGATTAGACACCAGTCGATATTACAATAGTACGGGCTAGCCAATAGTCAGTTACCAGTACTCATGTAATACTTCGACCGTTGCCAATATTAGTACTTAACAATAATGTCTGCTTGGGTATCAGAACAAGTTTATCAGACTTGACTTTTACGAAAAGACAACACATAATGTTTTAAAACATTGATACTGATTATTTATAATAAAACTTTTTGGTCCACTGTTTAGATCTATTTTTATATTTAAGAAGAAAATTTCATTTAGGATCATTTCGTTTNATATTAGTACTTAACAATAATGTCTGCTTGGGTATCAGAACAAGTTTATCAGACTTGACTTTTACGAAAAGACAACACATAATATTTTAAAACATTGATACTGATTATTTATAATAAAACTTTTTGGTCCACTGTTTAGATCTATTTTTATATTTAAAAAGAAAATTTCATTTAGAATCATTTCGTTTAGAAACTATACAACATTTACGGGCAATACTTTTTCTTTATTATCAAAAATTAATTTTTTTATTATTTACATACATTAAAGTACTTGTAACATAATTTACTACAAAATATTTTTAGCCATATTATTTTAAAAAGTTGACGAAACTGAATAATTTTCATTATACATTTTCTAAAGAATCGTTTTATTCTTTCTACATACACGTTTTTTTTTAATTTTATTTTGTTAAAAATGTATTCTTTAGCACACAAATAAGAATAATATGGGGTCAATTCACTTATCCATTTTAACCATTCTTCTGTTATATTTGGTGCTTAATCAGAAAATTTTACATAGACCTGTCAATGATATTTATGTTATGTATAAAGGCCTTAATCGATTTCGAACAATAAAAATGTACAAATGTTGTACTGTCTAGCTGAATTTATCTTATATTCTGAAATAATTCTAAAACATTTTATTTTATTTCAAATTAAAAGAGCTCAAAAATTATTTTATAAACAACTTTTGTTACAGTTATTATTTACAAAAAAATTAACTTAAATAATTACACTAAAAATACATATATTTCCATTTGGTTTTTCAAACTTCGCCTTTTAAAACCTAAAATAGATATTTTTTTAAATTACGTAAAATGTAAAAAATTGAATGTAATAAATATGATAAAAATTTTTTATTTGGAACACCTATATTTTCATTGATTTTGAGAAAAACTATGCAACATGAAATTTTAATCACCCTATATAAGGTATCAATATTTTATAGATAAAACATACGTAAGGGCTTTCGAGATTCTAAAATTTGTGGTACAATTTAACAAGTTGTGTGATAACAAACAAGTAAAGATCACATATTAATTACTTTATTATCTTTTTTACCTGAATCATTAATACATTATTTGCATTCTTTAGTTAGAAAATTTGAGCATAGAAGAGGTAGAACTAATCTCAACTGAATTCAATAAACTTGCAGACAATGAAAAACTTATAGATGGAGATCAATACGTATATTTGATTTCTATAATCGGCAAAGATGTTGGATGCGTAAATATAAATTTACTTATAAATATTCATAATTGTTTGCATATGACATACATCGCCCAAGATATTTTTCTGTCTAACACAAAAATAGACAGAAAGTCTAGTATGAAAAAAAGCAAGTCAAGTGATCATAATACTTATTTTATTGTTATGTTGATATTCTTATTCAAAATAACACACACAAATTCTTAATAAAGAATTTATAGTCTATTTTTGTATAATTTTTGAAAAATTCGATAAAGGTGGCACGGGTCGCGGGGCTCCTTGCATCAAGAAACGCCGCGGGACCGTGTCATATCTTATTCATCTAATTTCGTTGTCAATGATAGTCTTTCATAATATCAATAAAAAAAATTAGCTCTTTGATATTGCTGACATAATTTGCAAATCTAACAGAAACTTATGCAATCATTAATCATGATAGTGTTTATTATTCCATTATTATAACAATATACTTACCGGTATCTAAACTATAAGTTATAACATTAAGATGTAATAATTTTTTACAAAATCCGTCCCTTAATATATTTTATAAAACTTGGTTCGGTATTAAGAAATAGTTTAGAGGCCAGTTCTGTGAAGAAAAATTTCTTTTTCCAATGCTCGGTTTGGCCTACACGAAAATTTTAGAAATCCGGCCCAGTCCTAGCCCGGTATTCTCGATATCTCCGTCCTCCTCTTGTGATAGTGTACAATTATTTATTGTGATTTAATAAAAGGTATAATAAATAAATAATTTTTATATGAGTAATTAAAACGTAGCGTAAAATATCCTCTAGGATGGTAAATATTTTTACAAGGTGAACTGTTTTTATTGAATTTTGATAATTTGTTATTAATTTTATGTATACTTAATGCAATTTCAAACTGGATTGAACTTCATTAACACTTGACGCTTTAAGTACAAAGATTGACATAAAATCAAATTTATTTATATTTTGTCATGGACTCATTCTGATTTTTATTAGACAAAAATATTATAGAATTATTTTTATTTATTAAAAAAAGGCTCTTTAAACTTCTGTGTAAAGTTTTCTTAATCCTTTCCTGAAAAAATTATTAAACGTTATAAATTAAAAAAAAATCTGGTATTTATATCAAATGTTTAATTTTACGTATATGCGATTATTTCATGCGCATTACTGAAAGGTGGGAGGGTGTAGGTCGCTATCGGATCCCGTTAAATATCAAAAAAAAATTATAATTACTGTTGGTTATTGGTATTGTCTATCTATAATAAGTACAGACAGGGAGTTTATTAAAAATAACAACTTTTGCATGATAAGTTAATATTTTCAACTCAAATATTGAAAATGTCCCGGAAACACTTTAAACTTAATATATATATGTAAAATTATAGCTTATACTAAAAAAATCAATTGACCCTCCCTCACTTACTAGTATCAGGTTTTTTGAAATTTTAAATATCGCAAGTAACTTCAAGTATCCCGTTATAAATAGATCTTGGGTATAAATCTAAGTTGCTTTATAACACCAAATATCACTAAAAAAAAAACGCTATTGAAGATATGATTATGACCATTCAGCATTCGTACTAGATTACTTTAAATTATAAAAATTATTATAGTAAATATCAAAAATTAGTATGAAATTTTATGTTTGTAACTAATTAATTAATAAAATGAAATCCCATTTTAAAATATACATTAATGGCTTATATGTTGAAATTGATCGAATAATATCCGATAATTTTCATAAATTCTTTTACTAACCCAACTTTTCTTTACATATAAAAATTTCTGTTTCGACCTAGTTTGATATATAAATAAATTGTAATTGTTATTATTAAATAGTGGACTGTATTAAACGATATTTATACATAAGTTAAAGCTGTATGACCACGCACAAGCTCGTACCTTACGTTATTAGTCACTTATCAGAAAAAATACTACAGCCGGTCTCTTAATTGCTATTTAATACTAAAAAATGTCTTTGATAAATCGCGCCCGTTCAATTTACTTTGTTGAGATTATTGCTTTAATCCAAATAATTATATTCTCATCCTCTTTAACTGTAAACTTTATTTTTTCACAAGGCAACATACACTATTAACTAGCTTATTTAATAGATAATGATCTAATTAAGAAAATGACTGATCGATAATAACTTTTGGACCAGTATTTCGGAAATTATTTATATTATATATTACATTTTATATTATATATATTTATATTTTCATATATAAATGAAAGGAACAGTACGGGCGGGAAATGACTAGTGAAAAAAATAACAAAATCCGTGTCTCGCCACTAGCAATTATTATAAAATATAATTAATTCCGAAAACACAAGAGTATAAAGAGACCTATTTTATATAAATTAAAAATACAATAAAAATGGTTTTATAATATTGTTTGTTAAATAAAATTTTTAATGAATGCAAAAAAAGATAAGAATAAATTTGATTTTATGACAAACTTTGAGTTTAAGGCCTACCCTAATATTCTTGTTTTTAAATACTTTAGTTTAGTTATATATATTACAATAAATTATTTTGCATATTTTAGGAAAATAAGCTAAATGATTGGAGTGAAAAAATTAAATGTAATTCATTAAAATTTTTTTAACAAAAATCTATTTTTTCTGTTATATTGTTGTATTTTTTAGCTCGATATTATTTTGAGTTCGGTGATGTACTACTCGATGCATTACGGTACAGAGCACAAATAAAAAAAACAATAATTGGTGAAATTGAAAATTTGAATGAAAATTTTATTTATTACATCGTGAATGATCATAGTACAGATGAGATAAATGAAAAATGTCCATGGTTACTTAAATAAATGATATATAAAAGCATTATTTTGTATACATTTTTAAATACTCATGTTTTTTTTAGCTATCACTTAAAATATTCTAAAATTATATAAAATTATTATCTTTACGGTCACTCATTTATTGCATTTTATTATTATTTTTATTCCATTAAGATGATTTATACCTCGTTTGTTATTTAATTGTACACTGAGTACTGTTTTTGTTTCACTTACTCCGAACCTTTCTATTATTATTCTAGTTTTAATACTCTACTCTTTCATTTGTTTATTAGTATGTGTTCAAAATAATCCGCTTTCGTTATTATTTGAAAGGCGTGCGGGTTAAATATCATAAGTTCATTTTGACTACTATTTTTTGCATATTCTTATAAATATTTAAAAGACATCCTTATAAAAAATTTTCATCATTATTTTTTTCTTAAAACAGCGTTTTAAAGGAAAATTTTTTACAAATAATATAAAAAAATCTACTGAACAGTATGCAGTTCAGTTTCGACTTATAACCTTTTATCTGCACAATATCCATTTTTAACATGAAGATATATTTTTACTTTTTGATGTCATGTTAGTCGAGTGCATGTGTTACCTATTAAAAAATAAGAGGTATTTAATTTTAATGTATTTTATAATTTCTATGTCTTATATTTAAAATGTAATTTTAAATGCCAAAATAAAATTAAAAAAAATTCTACTAGTTGTTTACTTTTTTTATTAGCAAAAATAAAATCGTTAATCAAAATAAAGTTAAACATTCTGAAACAATTTGATGAGAAAAATATAATAAATAATTTTTTCATAGAACATGATAGGTATATTTGTTTTTTTCTTCTGTACGAAGATGAGAACGTATTGCCCTGATGTGCTTTTTATGTCTGTCCATGAAAATTTTCAGCTCTAATTATATCGTTTTTAATGATAAATACATCGCTAAAACCGATTTTAATCTAATTTAACTTGTCACTGGTGCAGATTAAAAAAAAACACTTAATTTTAGGCAAATTTAATTAAGTTGTCAATGATAAAATATCAAAACTAACTGAAGTTTTATGTTTAAATCGTTTTATTATTATGATGGTGTCACGTTACCATTATTGTAAAAAATTATTATAATAAAATACAGACAGCGCATCCGCTTCAAGAGAATGATGAATTGTCGATTAATATTTATTAAATAATTGGCAATCGTCCGAATTACTAATTAAACCCAAAAGACCTGACCATCGTGGTCAGTCGATTCCAGTGCTTTGGGTTATTCATCAGTCTCAGTACTCGGTTGTTGCTGTTCGGCTTACTGCATAAAGTCAAGTCTTTGTTTTTCTTTTTTTTATCTACTTAGTCTCGTCCTCAACATTTCAGAGTACTTGTGTCTTGCACTTAATCTGCACTTTATACTTTGTTATACTCCTTACCTGGTACGCCAAGTATTTGTGTCTTGAACTTCGTCTGCACCTTTTGAAAAATTGTTCATTAAAATTAGAATTATAATATTTCACGTTACAGTGTGAACGGTTTATCATAAACCACTATATTAAATTCAAAATAAAATGATAATGATTAAAATTAGTTTGATAAAAAATGCTTCAATGCAAATATAAAGATAGTGTTTAATTTTAAGAAATTGGTTGATTATTCCAAAAGCAAAATCAACTCCTATTTTCTTCATTATTCCTAATTAGTAGTGAATTAGAATTATAAGTGTAATATATGAATAAAAATGTATTATAGTATTTAAATTTAGTAAGAAATTGATATATAACAATTCAGTATTGTAATTTTTAAGGAGAAATTATAAAAAATGATAAAGTGGCTGTATAATTCAATACTTCTATGGGAAACGTGTATAAAAATTAAATTTTCATTAGAGTCAATAATATACTTTTCTAAATAAAGTTTCACGCCGATTACATATCCGTAATTAGTTTTTTATTATCACGTGTAATTTTTGATATTATAACTAATTAGTAAATATTGAGTATAAATCAAAAAAACTTAGGTTAAAATTTCAATTCAACAACACATCCGATGAACTAGTAGGTGAAACTATTTATATTTCTGAATATTAGCATATTATAGAATACAATAAGGTATAACTATAAAGTATATATAGTATGTTTCGGAATATTTCAGTTGTAGCATATATTTAAACATCATGATTTATACATAAATGATTACTATAATTTATTTCGTTTTCAACACTAAAAATATTGATTTTAACAAAATATTGAACTTTTCGTTAAATTGCAGTTATTATTATTATTAACTGTTGGCTACTATTATTTAAAATTCAAATTATATTAAAAATATTATGTTTTTGAGTATTAGTATGTTTAAATAATAACTATTATTTAAAAATACTATAAAAATTAGAATTTTTATAAAATTTGATAATATGGTTTGCTGGTACATTTTAAGAAATGTATTGTTTAATAATAAATTCACATTCGCCATACTTTAGATAATTTACCTATTTAAAGATATCTTTTTGAAGATTTTTTTTTTACTGATCAACGATAACTGTTGGAATTTTTTTAGAACCATGTGGTATTTTCATTTCTGATTTTACTTAGGTATATTTCTATTACTCGAGCAGTCAATAACCGCAATATATATGTTTTTTTGCTTTTTAAATGTATATTAGTATTATTATTTGACTACTTACATCAATATACACTTCACTTTATATAGTTACAAATATTCTAAAAAATAGAATATTAAGACATAAAATAAAGATTTATAATTAAGATGTAGAATTCTGTGAATGGTTATGACAAAATCATGACTATATACAGGACCTATTTTATATACCTAAGCATCTCTAGTTCAGCACAATCCTGTCGGTGACTGTAGACGGACGATCATCTGTAATGAATTAAAATAGAAGTTTCGGGAAACTTCTAAAATAATTATTCCACATAAATAATTATCAATTTTAAATACTTTTCTGACCGACAATAATTTTATCACTTTTTACAAATAAATCGCTCATTCGGAGCAATGTTTACATTATTGTCAATCTTTTTAATTAAGCGTATTTGTGGCGTCAAACAGACGGCAGGACAAAATAGTTCAATTCTTAAAAAAAACTAATCTTCCTTCATTACCTTACAAACTAGTTTAATATAAATTCTCACTCAGTATTCGTCCATACTCTTACTCTTTTATATTAAAGTTAATAATGTAAAATTCATGTTACTTTTGTCAACCTTCATTATAAGTCTTACACATTTGTTAAATTAATTAATTCAAATCATAGAAATAAACTCAGTATGTTGCCCCTCATACCAGTATTATTATTTATTTAAATTAACTTAAAATTTTGACGTCAACAAGGAACATCATATTGATTTATCATAATGAATCTATATATATATATATATAGATTTATCATCTATCTACGAATCCTTCTGGATATCAAGGTAAGTGTAGTCGTAAGACTTGCACTATATAAATGTTATATTAAGAAATAGGATAGAGTGGATGAGAGGTAGGATAAGGATGATATGAATGAATTCAACACAATCGATATAGTTTATAACACTTCCACCATCCCCCCATCCTATTCTACAGTCTTCATTTTTCTTTTTATTACACATCATACGCTGTAGAATGACATTTATTATAATATTATTTATTCATAAACATAGTGAGATTCTTAACAACATCTATATTGTTTTTAAAAGAGAATAAAAGTCAAATAGTTCCAAAATTACGTATATTTAATTTGCTTTTACTTTACTACAGTAAAAAAATATATAGCTATAGTTTTTAGTTATTTCGTCAATAAAAAGTCAATTTTTAAAATTTAACCATATAAATTTGTATTTGTTTTTTAATGTATTTTTTATATTTTGAATGATAAATTGAAATACTCGATGATGTCATTATAATAACAAATTTAAGTATGCGAGTTTTAATGTTTAACGACAATATGTCAAGTGCATAAAATCTATTTTTTTTACAAAAACATTATTTTAGAATAAATAATTAATATTTGCATTATTTCAATATAAATTGCAAAACCACGTACCTAAAATTATTTAGCTAAAATTTAAAGATTTCAATAATTTTTTTTTTAAATTGTCATTTTCTTAAGTAGAAATATTATTGTAATGCATTTAAAAACTATACTAATCTTTTGTTCAGTTAGTTTTTTTACCGGCACAATGGTAAGTATTTATTAAATTAATTATTTATTTTTTTAACAAATATATAATATAAATATTTATAGAGCGAGGGACTTAATGCACCACAAATACAATGTTATAATGCATTGGTAAAAGATTTATCATTTAATAGTATAGAAAGAGTAAATAAAGTTTTAAAGTATTTTGGCATCAAAGAAAAGTATAATTTTAACTGTACAGGTAATTATTACGTATAATTTTTAGTTTCAATTTTTTAACATGAATTTTTATTTTTATACAGAGTGATTCTTATAGCGTCAAAAGAATCACTTTGTATATCCTTCAATAAAAATACTCTGCTTGCTTTAAAATTTATTTAAAATAAAAAAATGTATTTAAAAATTTTAATTAAACTCAATTTGAAATATTATAATAATATACTAATAACTTTTATAGTTGAAAGTTTTTAAAATAAATTATCTTGAATAATTATTTTTAACACTTTTTAATCCAACTCATCCAAGCGCCTGCTCATTTATTGAAAAAAAAAATTGTTTTTCTATTTGCGCCAATGTGTATTTCTGTATCAGCGATTTGATAAATACAGTTGAATACAAAAACAATTTTTATTTTTAACGATAATAATCGTTTAAAGCTATTATATTTTTATTTTATTAATTATTATTAACTAGTCGAGACCACGACGGGATCATACGCAAAAACAAAAAAAGAGTGGCGGGTGAAGAAACAGTTGAGATTTTATAGAGAATATATTTAAAGTTAAAAAAAGTGATAAAAAAATTAAAAATACTTAAAGGGAAAATGTGCAATATTAAATTTTATAAATAGAGCTAAAATGTTTAAATTTAAATACTTAAATTTCAAGGAGAATTAAATATTTTTTAACCTAATTTCACTTATTTATAATATATTATTTATTTAACAGTGTAACATATTCTAAGAATGCTAAATAAAATTTTCTTATAATAATATTTACATTAAACATTTTTTTTAAATATTAATTATTATAACAGTAGTAGTAATAGTACCGTATAAGGGAGGGGAATGAAGTTTAAAATTTAGATAAAGACTTTTTTACGATTTTCGCGATGTCATCGCCTCAATGTTTAGTCATGTAGACATATAAATGTACACTAACATACATCTACAGCTCTATAATTCAAGCATTCGCAGTAATTCTACAGCGTCGGTTGGTTTAATTGTCTCCAAATGATGTAGTCGATACTCAATCAGAAATTAACAACAGGTGCAATACTGCACTTAATATTTGCATTTCTGGGGTAGTAGTGGCTACCAGTATTAACATTAAACATAAACATTCTGTTATAATCATCTGTTTTTAAGGTTTAAACATTTGCTTAAGTTTAAAACAGTTTAAAACATGTTTGAAACACTTAAATTCTAACAAGCTTTTTTTTTTCATTTTCTTTATTAATATAATAAAAAAAAACACAGCATAGGGGAGTCGCGGCACAGTGGTGACGTGGCATAGTTGGATCAAGTATAATGATATCTGACAGTGATTAAAATCACTATCAAAAGAAAA